ACCATTTTATTTCTTTGCTAAAAAATTAGCATATTTACTTGCAAGCAGGCTGAGCAAACTCATATTCTTGATGTATTTAGGATTTTTTTAGGGCTCTCCATGGGTTTTTGTAATTAAATTAGCAGCTTGTTGACTAAGCAGCCATATTTCCCTTTTTATTATGCATAAAAACTGAGCTCTCTTTAGCACGTTTTTTTTTTTTTAACAACATTTACATTTTTGACAGCTATATTTATTCTGAAATGCTGAGTATTTTTGACTGCTTTTTTTTTTAGACTAGGATGCAGTCCATCTAAAAGTGGAACAGATTTATCCAACTTTTTTTTTTCCTTTTTTTTTTTTTTTTACTCTTACTTTTGCTAGGAAACACAAATAACCCCCTCAAACACAGCAGTTCCCCTCCTCTGCAGACTCCTTAAAACAAGTAGGAAGCTGTATCATTAAAATTATTTTATTTGCCCATGTACTAGATCCCAAAAAAACTGAGGAAAAGCGCGCTGGAGTTTGTCAGTCACCATTAACCTGTGCCTTGGATCCTTGGGAAGTGCTGGGAGATCCACAGGCACAGTGTGGAGCAGTTTGTAGGGCTGGGGAGTTAAAGGATATTTGGAGGTGGGTTTTTTTTATCTAAATGAGGGTTGTAAAGAGACTTATCTGCCTCAGTACAGCCCAACTCACGGTTGAAACGAGGAGGGGCACGGGAAGGACGTTCTTGAACCATTATAAACAACCCTGATAATCTGAGTGAGGGTGGCACTCCTGGCACTTGGCTCTGTGCTTCCTGGAAGCTGAAGAATTCTGGTTTATTGTTTATTTTTAATTTATCTTTGTGCTTTAGTAGGAGCCAGTGCTGCTGGTATTTAAGGAGCCAGCAGAGGTGTCTTTTGGACCAGAATGGGACAAACAAGAATCACTGCTATTTTTCTACTTTCCATTCCTACTTTTTCCTTTAGTTTTACCGTTTTATCCTTTTCCAGGGCTCGTGTTTCCCTCTGCTAAAATAACCTCTCTTTTCCTGTTGTCCCCTTCTTCCTTCCTCTGTCATTCCCACCTGCTGTTGTTGTCCCTTTCCACCTTCCTGCTTTTGTATTCCTTTATATTTTCAATAGCAAAAACATGTAGGATGAGGCCTTCCCATTGTCTGAGTACTCCTGAGAAATACACAGAATTCCCTGGAAAACGCTCCCTGGATCGTTTCCTGAGTGTGGTGACCTTTGGATTAAAAAGTTGTGCAAGGGTGGGAATGTCACCTCACTCTTTATCCAGGTGCTTTAACCGGTTTTGGGATAGCAGTGCAGCCCAAGCCTTTCTTAATTTAACCTCCTTAACCTCTGGTCATGTTAGTGCCATACCCACACAAAAAAAAA